TTTTTATTATTGCTGTGGATTGTTTTAATCTCCTGCTAGCTACCCAGAGTCTCTGGCATGTGGGTGGTCTTATAAATTGATTAAATAAAATGTTTCCCTTTATGAATGTTCCAGGTTGCCGATATCAAGCGGGTTAATAATTTCATCCAGGAACAAGACTTTTACGCTCTGAAATCCATCAAGATCCCAGTCAAGGTTAATGGACTGCTGACAGAGACCAGGGATGAGTTGCTGCCCCTTCGGACCGCTGCTTTGCTACCTGAGTTCTCTGCATCCATAGATCCAGATAATAGGAATGGTGACAACGGACAAATTGATCAGTATTTCAGAGGGATTGACCAAAACATTGAAGAAATGACACACATGGAAATCCCTCCATGTGCAGATCACTATGTTGAACCTTCAAATTGGCCATCTCTGGAGCAGAAAGCAACCTGTAGTGGAGCAGATTACGGGATCCAGTGGTGGAAAGCAGTCTTTGTTATGCTTCTGATAGGAATCGTTTTGCCTGTGTTTTATATTGTCTATTTTAAGACCCAGCAACTGGACATGGTTCCCAATACCTCCAACACGACAGATCCCATTAACAACTCAGTGAACAGTTCACTGGTGAGAAGATCAAACCATGTTGGGCAAGAAGAAAGTACCCCCACAGCCCGTACCACCAAACAAGCTTTCATCCCATCAGGGGGATGACCCCACCTACCCCCCCCACCCCCAAATGAGCTGGAAGTGACAAGATATTCTGTTTTTTGCAAGTATTGCATCAGCAGACCACAGCTCTGTTGTTTGTGGTTACTAATGAACTTTGGACGAAAACCAAGCTAGGGAAAAACAGGGCAAAATGAGTCATGGAAAGTAACTAGTCAATTGTGATTCTGTTCCCACTTGCAGGAAGAGATGGGCCATTTTTTAATACCAAAAATGAGTACAGAATCCTAACCCACAGCAGCATCCCATAAATGCCCATGTTCTCCTCACTAGACCTCAGCTACCCAAAATCTTTCTTTCCTCATTCATGTTCCCCTGTTGCTGTTAAAATACATTTCTCTTAATGCTGTGTTACTGGGGTAGCTTTTTAGTTTAAGCACTGTTTTGGTGATATCCCTGTTCCTCCAGCAGTATTTTGTGATGCATGGCCCTTTTGGAGAAATCGATCCAACCGGATAATCCAGCAAAAGCTGGAACATTGCATGTGTATGGTTTTTAAAGTTAACAAATTGATTAAAAGCCATGTTTGAGATCTGCAAATTAGGGTTTGGGGGTGTTTTTTGCATACATACATACAAGTTGCCAGTGTACGTCTAGTTTAGAGCGTGTGGCCAAGGAAACTACAGGTCCATTTTGACATCAACCAACCTCAACTGGAGAGGGTCTTTTTATTTTTAATGTGCATGTTTTAATGTGCATTTATGCTGTGTCTCTTACAGACCCGCTGAACATACAGAGATTATGCCAGCATCCCATTTATGGAGGTGTGTATGTGTGTGTGTGTGCACGCGTGTGTGTGTAACTGGCCAAAAAACTTCCTGTGAGTTTCTTGACTGGGAGGATTGTTGAATGTGAGGCTTAATCTCACTAAATTTAAGCTAATTCAGATGTTGGGCATAGGGGCAAATGATCCATCAAGGAAGAAAAAGTTCTGAGTTTTGAAGAGAGGGGTCATTTAAGGGAAAAGAATGGGGGGAGGCAGTTTAGAGTTACCTCCCTGATGGTGGGAGAGAAGCAAAAGGTACAGCTGTTCTTCAGGGCCCTTCAGAGCAGTTACAAGGCAATGTTTGCCCTTGTTGAAACAATGCCACTTTAAAAGATGCAGGACAACTGTCACGTGGCAATTTCTGCTCTGTCTGCTTCCTTTCCCCACAGGTTGGTTTTGTTATTGTAATTAGTTATATCCAGTGCCTTGCAAACAACATAAGCGAATTTAAATAAAAATATATTGTTCTCAGACAAAGGCATTCATGGGATCCTCCTTACACGAGCAATCGATTGCAAGGATCCTGTAAAGCAGGAAGGCGCGTGCAAGAGAGAAGCATGAAATGTGGCTTCTCTAGCAGCCATGTGTAGTCTTCCTCCCTTGACTGGCATTGGCCATGTTGCTCAGACATGGTTAACTGAACCACAGGTTACCAAACTCAGTTTCTGGATCTGCCTAACATTAAGCTATCACTTATTTGGCTCACTTGGTTAGCTTGTGGTATGTCTTGCGTGAACACAGCCAATAAGGGGCTACATGGAGGCCTTTGTCCCCCAATTTGTCTTGTCCTTGGGCAATTGTTCTAAAATGCTGGCTTCCTCCCCTTTCATTGTTTGATTAAGGGTGAATCTAATCTCAGAGTTGGGTGAAATACCTATTTTATCATGAGCAAAAACCAACCTGCAGTGGGATAATTGGACTTCCTTCACTGCTCTTCATAAAGCATCAATCATCAAGGGGAAGGTATGCCTACTATTAAACAGTTCTTCCCAAATCCAGTTGTGTGCCCCTGGAAACTAGCAGGAAGATGGTTGCAAAGGAAAATTATTAACATTCTTTCAATTGCATTTCTTTCAGATATTAAAACAAGACTTTCTTAGGTCCATGCCAGATTGGTTTACTAATTTCCATTTCCTCTTCATTCAAGCAACTGACAATCCAGTAACAAAACAGAGGGATTTAGCTGACCGTATTGCAGAAAGGAGGCAAATCAAAAGTATTCAGTAAACAAAGAAAATGAGTCCCCTTTTAATATAACATGAAGCTGAATTCATGAAGTGAAAGGAATCATAACTTAGGAGTGACAGAAAATCGAAGGCAATGAACTTAAAATGTGTATGGCAATGTTGTCCACTTTGACTAGGTTTGTGCTAGTACTTAGCTTATTGACAATCAATTTTTGTGTGTTTTTGTTGTTTTTTGCCCTGTGATATGGTTTTATCAAGAACAGGGCAGAATAGAATCTGGGTTTATCCCTCAATCTTAGCCACAATTGCTAGATTTACAGATAATGCTGTCAAATTAAGATTTATAAACTACAGTACTGGGTTCATGCCAAACAAATTCCATTATGGCCTTAACTCCCTCAGTGATTCCAGAGAGAGAGGACAACATAAATTGGAGAAGTCAATTTTGTAAAAACTTCAGCTTTTGTTAAAGATGTTTCTAGTCCCTGTAGTTGTGAAATTTATGATTAAATAATTGAAACTAAAGGGACACATGAATGTCTTACAGAGCGGGGTTTCATATTCTACGTGTCACCTTGCTTTTCCCAAGGTCAACAAAAACAAGATATACAAAAGTGTGGACCATTTAATTCAGCTTTCTGGGTGCAAAATCTGGATTGTAATTAGAAAATCAAGGCCCTCGTTCTCCAATCTGGTGCTGTCTAGATGTTTTCCATTAGAATTTCCATGGCAGGGTTCCCAAGGTTTATTATTCTGCAGTCTCCTATCTATAACGTTCCAGTTCATTGATGTTAATGCAACCTGGCTAACCAATCTGAGTAATTCAAGCAGATAATGTCCTATGGTTCCAGATCATGTACCATGTCTTCCAGTTATCAATTATCTTCTGGAACGCAGGAGAAATGTAACATTTTAATGTACATCTTGCAACACTGAAGTTCTTTTAATGTGTATTGGTCAGGCGAAAGTTTTGAAGTAAAATGGTAGCATCTTGAATACGGTGAAACGGAAAGGAGCTTGTCCATCTCCTTCCTATGCAGAGTTTCCTTTTTCCACCCCATCCTCCATCACTGTAACTCATGCGTAAATAAATAAGAAGTATTACACACTACACTTGCTCTTAACCAAAAGGCTGAGAAGAAAAGCATTTCCCTTTTCTAAAACTCAAATACTGTAATAAAAAGTAAGCATACCTGATTTTATGCTGTTCTTAGGCTGACACAGTTTAGGAGTCTTTGGACTATTTTTTTGAGTATTTAAATGTATCATCTTTGGGCTATGACTCCGTTTTAATAAACTTGAAACATTAAGTTTATCTGTTAAAGTATGCAACTATTCGCTGCATGTTCATTTAGTGATCCTAGTAATTTCTCAGCAACAGGAACTTTCTCTCATACACACACAGACCAGGGTTTAGAAGCAAAAAGAAACTGACACTGAGGCACTTACAGAACAAAGAAGAAAAGTCATTTTAAATACCCCTAGCTATATTCCAGGGATTTTCAGATCAGATTGTGTTCAGTTTTATGAGGATGATCCTGCTTTTTCTACGTGTATCATTCGATCCAAAGAAAATTAAGTTGTTTTCATGTGTCAAGAGGATTGTTTAAATGAGGCCTTTCCAAATACTCCTTTTTCATCAAGTGAGTAAAGCCAACAGGCACAGGGCAGATACCTGAATGAACGACTGCAGCTGTTAACAGCTCACCTGAAGGCTCTCCGGCTTACATGTATCACTCTAAGCCATGACTACCTAACTACAGTTTGCTGAATAAATCACCATTTGTTGGTGTTCATCTAAGATGCTAAGCCAATTTCAAAAAAGCCACATTACAATTTAGTGTGAACCTGGTCTATGCCTAAAATATGCCACTGTTAAAAAACAATTCAGCTATTATTATTTCTCGGACTGAATATAGATAATTCATCTAAGTCAGCCATAGAACACAAATGTAAAATTGCATTTTTAAAAATTGACATTGCATGCAATGGACACCCCTCTTTTACTTGGTTACCAAAAATGCACTTGTGATAGCGGACCCGTCCAAATTTGTGAACTAGTCCAATCAGAAATCCATTGCTCACCATGGAGTGTCTAACTGAGGGACAGATAAAGTTAACATGATTGTGAATCTTGGACTGCAGTTAAGATGGATCATGCTTCTAAAACGGTGAAGATCATTTGTTTTACCTCAGCCTTCAGTTGGGTAAGTTGGACTGTAATTAGCATCTCTGAGCCAGTGATCGTGACAGCCCATGATGATGTAGTTTGACATTTCTGGAGGGCGCCAAGTCGGACATGTTTGATTTAGATAGTCAAGACTGAGCTAGCATAAATGAATTTACCTTGCTTTTTTCATGTACCACCACATAGCAAAAGCCTGATGCAGTCAGACAATTCCACTTTCAAGTTCATACAGTAGGCACTGCTGACGGGACAATGACTACTGAAAATGAACCAAGCTTAGGAAGGACTCAGAGCAGGGAAAGGCAGAGTCATCAAGCATTCTAAATATGAGTGAGTCTGATATACACAGTAAAAGCCAGTATTTTTACTTTAGTGAATGCAAGATACAAATATTTTACAACAACTTCTAGCATTTTCTTAACCATTTGATAAAAAGTTCACTAGAATATTTATTGTATAATGAAGAAAAAAACACCACATTCAGGGAAAAAGATTAACTTAATTTTTTTTTTCTTAAAGATTCATCTTAAAGATGGCAACAAAGTCCAGCTTGTGCCGCCAGGCGGCTTTAACCGCAAACAGCTTCGTCTGTGAACTGTCGACTACAAACAATTACCAAGTACATATATATTTTTTATTTTTTTTAAAAAAAGCTTTTCTTTTTTAAATATAGCAAAGCAGTGTTTTCTTGCACAACAAAGTGAGGAAAAAAATCTTTTTTTTTTCTTTTAAGTCTTTCACATTCTAAATTTCAAACTTTTTCCCATGGCTGATCTGGGAGGAGTCATTTATGTTCCTTATTTACTATGTATTTCTTGTGCACACAGTACACTTGCCTATGCATTAATGTCCTATATAGGTAAAAGGCTAAAGCATTTCCAACTAGGATTTTGCAGTGCTGTGCAATCCCAGGAAAAGATGCAGCTGCTTTAAAGAGTTGCATACAGCTGATACATCTGTGCCCTCATACATTCCAAAGCACCTTTCTGGAATTGTTCCAAAGTGCTGCACAGCCTTGTTTCTTTACATGCCTTTATTTTAAAAAAGAATGTATTATTAATAAGTCAAATCAATGTTATCCTCCGCAACTCCTTTCTAGAAAGATTTGTTTGTAATGCAGTCTTGCTGAAATCTTACTGTAAATGCATTACACACCAATACCTCCATTGTTTAAACTCATTCATTAGCTTAAAAGGAGGAAGTATTTGAACAGTCTTATCAGGTAAATTGTTTAATTAGTAAAAGTCACTCTAAGAGGATGTAGCCCTCTGTCAAGCTAGTAACACCCTAGAAATCTCAAAAAGGATGGATTGTTCACTGCTTTGAAAGCACTCCTTTGACCAATAAATCCATTATATCCCAGCATATCAACTTACCTGATATCCTTGTTTTCAGCAAG